AATATTAAGCTACAGTGACGAGTTATAAACAGTAAATCCAAACCGCACAACACCGAAGATTAGTACTTGTTTTTAAAACAATCTCAAAAGGGAACATTTCGCACTAAAACAAAACGCGTTTAGGGGGGCTTTTTATCCTTCCCACAAGCAATAACCACGCATTATAGTGAGTTCACCATAGTTAGTAGAGGGAGACTAAGAGGAGACTCTCCCACTACTAACTATGGGCAGCCTCTCACAGGCGGCTTTAGAGTTTACTATTATTTCCGAGAAGTTAGTTGTAATATTTGAACTCTGATTTACCTCAAGTATTTCATATGAGATTTATTGCAGCCCGGCCTACAAACGGCTGTAAATACACTTGTCTACGACGCTAAAGAGGAGAAGAGAGCTGCCTGTCAATTACAAGTCGTATACAACTATCTGTATATAGTTATAACGCTACAGTCTCATTCACTAGTGAACCCTACACAGAATATACTACAGGTGTTCGCTGACACAGAGGGCGGGCCACTGCCAGTGTTGTTTACGTCATCAGTAGATCTTGTTACGTTCCCATTACTAAAGAGACAGGCCCGCCATTTTACTCTTGCCATCTGAGCCACGACTCACGAGGGATTCACAGTCCGCATTGTCGATCGCATCATGTTACGTATATATATATATATACATATATACATGTATTATGTATATATATGTATATATCGTGTTACATTATATAGTATGCAGGTATGTAACAAAAACACGTAATAAATGAAACCGCCATAAAACGCTCCCTGACAAATTCTTATAATAATACTTATTTTATTTACTGGGAACTTCCCCAAAAAATGTACAGTTGTTCGTAAAAACCGACACGGTCCATGTCGTATATCATATGATACGTAGTTAAAAGTTAACCTGTGGTGTGTGTGCCACCGACCGACCGACCCTGCCACGCCCCGCGACCCTGCCACGCCCCGCGGCGAGGCACGGTCGCTCGATCTGCATGCATGCTAACCTACTCGGAAGCAACAACACGCGACTCTGACGGGGAAAAAGAAGATTTAGTTACCGTAGCAGAAGAATCAACGGCGGCGGTGATCCCGACCTTCCTGCTTAACGATATCCTAACAACGTCAGCGTAACCATGGCAACGACCAGCCGCGCGGACTCACGCAGTACCGCGAGAGTCATCATCCACACAGACATGTTGTCTCAGCTGTTGCCATGGTGAATGTTGCTGCTTGAGACATGTTGTCTCAGGGGTTGCCATGGTACGCATGAGTGTATGAGACATGTCGTCTCAGGTTTTCTACTCGACAGGTCGCTGACAATATACTCTCTCACGCACCCGTGTTTTTACTTTTAACATTGCAATTGAACAAGTAACTATCTGTAATCAACTAATGGCAGCCAACAAGGGTTCGTTGCGATGGCTAGTCAGCCAGTAAGGGGCAGCCAGTAAGAGGCAGCCAGTAAGAGGCAGCCAGTAAGGGGCAGCCAGTAAGGGGACTGCCTATGCGCTAGCACGCACACGTGTGAGCGAGTACTCTGGTAGGGGAAGCATGTACACTTGTGCAGAGCTGCTGGGGAACACAGACAGGGAGTCAGTTCATGAACTCTACCCTACGTGCCTTGTAACTCACAAACGAGAAAGAAACGATGAGCAAGAAAGATGTGGCGCACTAACGAGGGATAGGAACACGTGGCGAGAGAGAGAGAGAGAGAGAGAGAGAGAGAGAGAGAGAGAGAGCGAGAGCGAGAGAGAGAGTTAGAAAGAAAGACAGAGAAAAAGAGACGGAGGAGAGAGAGAGACGGAGAAAGAGAGACAGAGAGAGAGAGAGAGAAAAAGAAAGACGGAAAGAGAGAGAGAGAGAGAGAGAGAGAGACGGAGAGAGAGAGACAACTACACATAAACTATAGTTAACACGTGTAGCTTTCATGGAGGAATGCCAGTCACCTACATGCTACCCGCTAGAGACACACGCACGCATACAAACGAACACATACACACACACACGAACACATCACATACACACACATATATACACACGCACACGGGAGAGATAGAAGCTGTCACAGCTGCCATTGCAGCCCACTAACAACACGGATAAATGGACGCTAGGTGGCGCTGGCAGCCTACTAAGCGATAAACCAGCGCAGGAATCGGAAATGCTATACTCGCGTGCAAAAGAACAAGAAGATACTCGAGTAGAAAACCTACTATCTGCTGCGGCCTCCCTCGGTCGCATGCACGCGCGTGGTGGAAACCCCGAAACTACGATTCAAAGTCAATGGGTTCAAATCCCACACCCACCTCCCACCTCCCTCCCACCCCCTATCGTCCTCCACCTACCTATCACCCAATATATTTATTTGCTAGGTTTCATGTCTACAGCAGGAGAGAACGTCTTCAGTCAATAACTACGGACAGACGCACAGACACACGCAGACAGAGGCGAGCTTCGTCGCGCGAATTACGTCGCATTTCTGCCACCAGATGGCGCTAGTCAAGCCCCGTCACTCGCGTTACAAGAAAATCTGTATCAAACGGACACCGACGTGGCCAATGGTTCTGCCACTAGGTGGCACTGCGCAGACGCGGACGCGCAGCGATCCACTGTAATAATGGACTCGCCACCGCGGTGACGTGATGTTCATGTGCACCCCTAGATGGCGCCACCTGGGACAGCACATACATCGTTCATTAACTTACTCTGGTGTATACGCACACGCACACACGCTGAGAACACATATAAGTACAATGACGCTGTACTGCCATAACACAGCAGCGGCTACAATTGCAGCCGAATGTAATACCGCACTATGAATACAGTTAGAATGATGGTCGCCAGTGCTTGGTCTGCACTACAGCAACCAACTGCAAGTGACAACTGTCACCATGTGTACCATAGTTACCATGCACACCATATACATGTACAACTGTCACCATGCAATACCATAGCTACTGTAACATGTACAACTGTTAGCATGCACACCAGCTATACGATGTTACGACTTGTCACCATACATTACCACTAGTACTTGCTAACATGTCTACAAACTGTCACTCATACAATACCAAGTTACGGCTAACATGTACAACGTCACCTATACAATGCCATAGTTACTGGACATGTACACTGTCACCATAGCATCACCATAGTTACTGTACATGGGAGCAACTGTCACAACAATACCTAGTTACTGGTACTATGTTACAACTGTCACCATGATACCATAGTATACTGTGCCTGTTCATCATGCGATCTCTTAGTGTAAGCTGATCTACCACTGGTATCTAGTCGCGGTTATGGTTGCGAGTGACACAGCTGTCGCTCTCTTACGCCCGCCACAGCGTATTACAAGATCAAGCTGCCGTAACTCTGCACACACCAGTGGTTACATCCGTTTAGCTGTAACTCGGACAACACACCGGCGTTACATGCCGTAAGCGCCACCGCACACACGTGCGTCAGTAAAAATTAATTCTTTTTCTCGGTGCTCTTTTTGGCAAAAACCCCCCTAAAATTTCGGGGCGCCTACTTTTTCATTTTCCAGGGCCTCTTTTCCACATTTCCAGGGAGCGACTTTTTATTCCAGGCTGTTTCCCTCAAAGTGTACACACAACGCACAAGAGTAGCTAATACATCACTCGCCGGCGGCATCGCGTCGCGCACCACCACACACGTCACACGCACGCTACGCATCGCACGCACGCACGCACTCCAACGCACACACACCACACCATCACACACACACACACACACCACACACACACACACACAGACACACACAGACACACAGTCAATATTTCAAAGACCAGTTATCATCAGACTGACAGTACTACACTGATAATCCACAAAACACCACAACGTCACAACCACAAATGCACCCTTTTGACTAGTGAATACGTCACAGGCTTCAGCTAACACAATACTATCACGCGCTAGCCCAAATAGTGGACATGCCGCGTACGTAGCTAGGAGATCGATTGTTTATACCTGCGAATATCTTGCCGGCTTGCGGCTCAAGCCCGCCTAAGGTCCCTGTAAGCTCAGCGCGGGTTTGTCGCGAAAGCGGCCCGCGAGACGTGTGAAGGGCTGTGCACATCGACGCCTGCGTCGTGGCCTGCTGCAGGGGCGGCATTGCATTGACAGTATGGCGGCTGCCGGGCATCGATTGTTTCAGCGTAGGTACTAATCACTACTTAAATTCTTAGAGGTGTTGCATTGACGAGACTAGTGGGAGAGCTCGGCAGCAAACTGCTTTCGGAATTGATCAATAAATGCTACATCTGGAATCGACCACACGAGTTGCCGCAGAGGAAAAATTATACGTGTGAATTTCTTAGGATTTTCCATGTATCTACCTTCTATAATCCTACGGGTCGTTGCTCTACGGGTCTACTTAGCACCGCCGCTAGGCACACCCGCCACACACCGCGACGCAAGCTATCGCTACGGCATGCAGGGCACGCACTGCGCGCAGGCACGCACGCACGGAGGCACACATGCACGCGGCGCAGGCACACCACGAAAACACGCCCGCAGGCACACCGCGCACACACAGGCACGACCCGCACGCCGCCCGCCATCGGCACGCGTGCAGAGCACACGCAAGCACGCCGCGGCACACCGCATCACGCACAGGCGCCGCAGGCACACACGCAAGCACTGCACAGGCTACACACGTAAGTATACGCGGGCGCGGCGTGCGCGCGCTTGATGAATTGCAATACAGTACAGTAATCACGATGCGATGATCTTAATGCATATAAACACTTGACAGCCCACACCGCCGTCAGGAATTTCTACCGCCGCCGTGGAACCGCGCTGCCGCTAGCGCAGAGGGCGAGCGGAGATCGGCAAGGCGCGCGGACTCCGACCGGACAATCCGATTTCCAGGGCGACATTTGCTTTTTGGGGTCGCTCTCCGAATAGATCATATTTTCGGGGGCTCTTTTGGCTCATTTCGGCGAAATCGCCGCCGCCCCCGTGTATTTTTCCCCTGCCGTCGTGTACATGCGTAGCTGTAACTCTGCACACACCGTAGTTACATGGCGTAGCTGTAACTCTGCACACACCGTAGTTACAGGCGTAGCTGCCACCCTGCATACAATGCTGCGCTGTCACAGGCGAGGGTGTCTCTCCCCCCGCCCGCCGCACTACACTACTGTTACATTTACAGCAGAACCTTCGGCACATTGTACCATTACACGCGCGCATCCGTCGCCGCGTCCTCGTGTCGTAAGAAAACTCGACGAGCGGCGCGGACGATGACGATGATGACGATGATGATGATCAGAGGATGACGCACTTCTTCTTCCGCTTGTCCTTCTTCTTCTTGCCGTTCTGCTGTTTCGCATCTTCCATCTTGCGCGATCGGATCTCCCACATCAGGTCGAAAAACACCTGCGCGCAAACAAGAGAACGTTACGCGCGCACGGGTAGAGGGCGCCGGGGAAGCGTCGCACAATCGCAGCGCACGTGGCGAAAGATTGTCGAGAGATCCCTCGCCCGACGCACGATTCGACACGAGCGTTGACGTCATTTCGACGTTGATTCTATTACAGGGGGTTTGCCGATTCACGGACAGAACTGCTTTTGGAACGTCATTAGCATGTCGGTAACACAATCGCTTTTACTAACTCGGTTCGGTGAGCGTGTCTCAGGCTAGCAGCCCCCCCCCCACATTAACATTAAACTTCGTAAGAAAGCATCGATCCCATGTTCGAATGTCCGAAACTCGCTGGCGTTCTGAACTCGAATGCACTTATGTGTGCAGCAAAATGGGAAGAGGGGAAACACCCACCCACCCATTAAACAATGCCTGCAATGTTAACTTGGACTACTTTACGCAGGAAATCATTTAATAGAGGCTTAGGCCAAAACAAAATATAGGTGTGGTTACGGTTTCCTGACCGACCCTATTTATTCCCAGCGACCCTAAACATTTTATTGTCAATTTTCTTTAAAGTAAAAAAAATAATAATAATATTAATTGGACAGTTCCTGCTTCAAAAGGCACAACGCACATCCTTCGGACATGGTTCGTAAATAAAATATTTCAAGAAAATAAAATGTTTTCCTACCTACCTACCCTATTTTTTTCGGCATGTAACGGTAACCACGCATATATTTTGTTTTGGCCTTACGGTTACAGTGCATGGGACAGTGTGTGTAACAACTGATGTTGCTTCATAAGGAAATTTCTACATATTGACAATATTTGGCAAAATTTTGAGTAAGAGCCCTAACTTTGATGCCAGTTTAAGAGCCTCTCCTTTCTTATAGCTAGACACACCGAACAATTCAAGCATGCAGATGCAGTTCTCAGTACTGCCACCTGGTGGCCTACCTTGTCGACGTTCGCTCGCGTCTTCGCCGACGTTTCGACGTAGGGCACGTTCCACTGTGCTGCCCTCTGTTGAGCTTCTTCCACGGTCACCTGTCGCTTGTCTTCAAGGTCGGCTTTGTTTCCGACGAGGAGGAACGGGATGTTGTCGTCGTTCTTCACACGCAGAATCTGCTCCCTGCAACACACGAGAGGGGGAGGTGAGAGAGAGACGAGGGGGATGGGCACACACGCCCACACACGCAGAATCTGCTCCCTGCAACACACGAGATGGGGAGGTGAGAGAGAGAC